AATCTTATTTATCTTTTCAAAGAACCAGCTTTTTGTTTCATTGATTCTTTGAATTGTTTTTTTTTTTTTTTATCTCCATGTAATTTATTTCTGCTCTGACCTTTACTATTGTCTTTCTTCTCCTTGCTCTGGGTTTTCTTTTTGTTTGCTCTAGTTCTTTAAGTTGTGAGGTTAGATATTCTGTTAGAAATGTTTCTTGCTTCTTGAGATAGGCCTGTAGTGCTATGAACTTCCCTCTCAGAACTGCTGTCACTGCATCCCATGGATTTTGTGTTGTTGTGTGTTCATCTTCAAGGAAGAAGTTTTAATTTCTTCCTTGATCTCCATGGTAACCATTCATTGTTCAGTAACATGCTATTTAACCTCCATGTTTTCAAATGTCTTTAAATGTTCTCGTTGCAGTTGATTTCTAGTTGCATGCCATTAGGATCTGAGAAGATGCTTGATATGATTTCAATGTTCTTGAACTTTCATGTCTTGTAGCATGTCTTAGTTTGTGTCCTAACATGTTGTCTATGTTTGAGAAAGTCCCATGTGCACTGGAGGAGAATGTGATTTCTGCACTTTTGGGGTGTAATTCTCTGTAGATACCTATTAAATACATTTGATCTAGCATTTCATTTAGAGTCTGTGTTTCCCTGTTAATTTTTTGTCTAGAAGATCTATGTCAGTGGGGTGTTGAAGTCCCCTACTATGATTGGATTGCTGTCAATTTCTCCTTTAAAGTCCTCCAGAAGGTTTTTAATATATGTTGGTGCTTCTATATTGGGTGCATATATGTTTACCAAGGTTATATCTTTCTGTTGGATAGATCCTTTCAATATTATGTAGTGGCCTTCTTTGTCTCTAGTTATGGTCTTTATTTTGAAATCTACTTTATCAGATATGAGTATTGTTACCCCAGCTTGTTTTTACTTTCCATTTGCTTGAAAGATTTTTTTCCATCCCTTCACTTTCAACCTATTTGAGTCTTTTGTTGTCATGTGAGTCTCTTGTTTACCACATATATGTGTGTCATGCTTTCTTATCCAGTCACCTACTCTGTGTCTTTTTATCGGAGCAGTCAAACCATTCACATTTAAGGTGATAATTGATATGTGCTTATTTATTGCCATTTTTGTTTAGTGTGGTTCTATTTTTCTTCTTATTTCTTGTACTAATTAGAGCAGGTCTTTTAGCATGTCTTGTAGTGCTGGTTTGGTGTTAATATATTCCCTTAGCCCTTTTTTGTCTGGAAATCTTTTTATTTGACCTTCTATTTTGAATGTTAGCCTTGCTGGATAGAGTAGTCTTGGATTCAGATCCTTGTTTTTCATGACCTTGATTGCTTCATGCCACTCGCTTCTGGCCTGTAGTTTTACTGTTGAGAAGTCAGGTGAGAACCTAATGGGGTTTCCTTTGTAGGTAACCTCTTGCTTATATCTTGCTGCCTTTAGGATTCTCTCTTTGTTTTTAATTTTTGGCATTTTAATTACTATGTGTCTTGGTGTAGGCCTGTTTGGTTTCTTCTTACATGGGGCTCTCTGTGCTTCTTGAACTTGAATGCCTTCTTCCTTTACCAATTTAGGAAAGTTTTCTGGTACAATTTCTTCAAATATATTCTCTAACCCTTGCCCATTTTCTTTCTCTTCGGGGACTCGTATAATGCGAATGTTATTACTTTTCCAGTTGTCCCACAGTTCTCTTAAGCTATCTTCCTGTTTTTTAATTGTTGTTTTGTTTGTTTGTTTGGTTGGTTGGTTGGTTTTTTGGTTTTATGATTGGTTGATTTTTTTTCTACCCTGTCTTCTAAATCACTTATCTGGTACTCAGCTTCCTCTACTCTGCTGGTTAGTCCTTTCAATGTATTCTTAATTTCTGTTATGTCATTCTTCATTTCCACTTGGTTGGTTTTCATTGTTTCTATATCTTTACTCATGGTGCTGATGTCCTTACTCATGCTGTTGAGCTTCCTGAGGATCATGGCTCTGAATTCTACCTCTGATAATTTGCCCAACTACATTGTATTTATCTCACCCTCGATAGAGTTCTCTTGTTCTTTCATTTGGGATTTGTGTCTTTGTTTCACCATTTTGGTTATCTCAATGGGTTTTGGAACCTGCCCATTTTTTTCTGTGGATGTTGTGTTCTGTTCCTTCCACTGGGTTTGGATGGGCCTGGGTGTCCATGTTAAACACCACTGTCAAGTCTTACTTTCCTGAGAAGATTTGCAAGCCCAGGAAAGGTTCAGTTATCCTAGCTTTTTCCTGGTGACTAGTAGTCTCAGTTACTCAGTGCCTTGGAATGTAGCCCTGGTGTTCTGCATAAGAGGATTTCCAGAGGGGGGATAGATGCTGGTTGTTAATGAGCCTGAATTTGCATTTCTTTGCCTCTCCTGGGAAAGGCAGAATCTCCGAGGGAGGCCTGCTGCTTTTTCCCACCCTTCTGAGAAGGAGCACACTGGCCATAGTTTTTTGTGGCTGCCACTCAGCAAAAACTCTGAGTGCCCTCCAAATCCCGGTTGTCCCCACAGTGTTCCAGCCTACTCTGCCTTCCCTCTGCTGTAGCCCCCAGATGAGTGGCTGTGGCTATTTTAGCACTCTGTCCTGGGTCTCTGCGCTGTGCAGTGCGCTTGGTCTTTATTCCCCAAAGACACTGCTCACAACTAAGACAGCTCTTGTCCGTGGGCTCGGAGCCCTCCACCCTCTTGCACGTCCGCAGATCCTTCCAGTGTCCCTGGTTATATGGTCCTGTCCTGCTGCTTTTCTGTTGCTTTTTTCTGAGGATTTGTCTTTATTTTATTTTTAATTCCTGGGAGATTGTCTGTGTAGCTTCTATTCACTCCGCCTCAATTTTCACATCCACTATGCCTATCTTGTGCGCAGCTGGGTCGCACAGGCCTCTTAGGTGCCCCCATACCCTGCAGGTCCCATGGGTAACTAGATCGCACAGTCCCTTTGGGGACTTGCCTCTATGCCTATGTTATGGGCTGCTGGGTCGTGCAGGCGTCTCTGGTGTATCAGTACCCCACATGTCTCAAGGGTAACTGGATCACACAGTTTTTGCTGGTTCGCGCAGTCCTCTCTGGTGCCCCACACCCTGCATGTCCCGTGGGCAGGCAGCTGTATTGCATCAGTCTCTCTTGGGCTCTGGCTTCCCCACTGCTCTTGTGAAGTGCTGGACTACACAGGCCTCTGTGGAGCCCCAGGTCCCACTGCTGGTGGCTGGGGAGTGCTGCTGCCCCATGGGGCTCATCTCCTGCTCAGCTTTTGCTGTATTTTTTGGCGATGGGTCTCAGCTCCTGATCTGTGCTTCTGTTGTCTAGAGATGGATGTCTGGTCCCCAGCCTCTGTCACTGGTGGTATATCTGGACTTGATTGGGCTGCTACTGTGGGGGATGGTGCTGGGTTCCCGGCTGTCTGTGGCTTCAGCCACAGCCACCTTAGCAGCTCCACTACTGTGCACTGGTCTGTGTTGACACAGTGTCCACTGGTTTGATGGTGCCAGCTGTGTTGCGGGCTCAGGTTGCCGAGCCCTGGCTGCTCCCATAGCCTCCTCCCAGTGAAGACCCGGGATCTTCCAAAATGGTGAGACCTCCCCACGGCACAAGGAGAAGCGCCTTGAAGAGCTGCTTATTGTGGTAGCCGGCTGGTCCTATCCACAGCACAGGAGCCCTCTGCTCTGAGTCTCTGCACTATTCGGGTTTGGTTGTCCACCTTCACGTCCAGTCACATTCTCTCACACACTAGGTTACTCTCTCACACACTCACCTTCCTCTGGTCCTGCCCGCTGCCATCTTCCCGGAATGGGAGCATTTTTTGATACCTTGTGATTTTGGATTCTAATTTAGCTTTAGCAACATATAGCACCTCTAATGTAAAACAATTAACCTTATAGACATGGACAACAAATCCAGGGATGGGGTGGGGGGGATGAGGAGGAGGGTGCCAATGGGGTAAAAAAGGAGAAACATCTGTAACAAAAATAAAATTAAAAAAGAAAAAATTAATAAATAAAATAAAATAAAAATATAAAAAAACAATTAACCTTGAAAATAGAAATATAAGGAGCCACAGTTATAGGGTTTTTCTCCTTTGTTGATATTGATATGAATTGACCATTGCAGCATAAATAAAAAGTATTCATGTGCATATCTGTGTGTATAGATTTATTTATACAAGATTTTTTGAAATCTCTTAGACACATTGTTTATTACTAATATAATTTTGTTGCAGCCTACCTCATCAAATTAGTTCTTAAAACTCTCTAGAGTGAAAGTATTTATTTTTTTGAAATTAGCATATATATATATACACACACATATGTATCATATATAAAAAGTAAATATGTGTATATATTCATACTACATATATCTGAAGTATATATAAAGTAGCTTTTTTAAATAAAGGACTCATTTTTAAAGCGAGTTCTTAATAAAGTGTAAGAGGAGCTATCTCTGCAATAATGCTACATAACAAGCAGACCCCTCCCCCAATTTCAGTGGTTTATAACAGCAGCTATTTATTTTTCTTCTTCATGGGCCTGTAGGTCAGCTGGGTTTGGCTCCAGCTTGGCTTGCTCCACCTGTGTCACTCTGACCAATAGCAGCCTCAAGGGTCATGTTCTTCTTATGGCTATGGTGGAGACACAGAAGGCCAAGCTAAATCATGCCAGCACATTAGGACCTCTGTTTTGTACATCTGCTAACATTACATAGGCCAAAGTCAGTCTGGTGGCCAAGCTCACATCAAAGGGAGAGGAAAATCAACTCCATGGAAGGTGTTGCAAAGTCACATCTCAGAGACAATTGGTGTATAATTGTAATACAAGGAGGGATGAGTAATTGAGTATAAGAATCCAGTGTAGCACAAAGTCCTCATAATCCAAAAGTGGACTACAGAAATGTGTGCTTTGAAAATAACTCTTTGCCAAGAGCTTATATAACAAGAAACAATTTAATGTGGCATTTACAAAACTGCACTTTGAAATATCATTTTAATGATATCCTTTTTTTTTTCTAGAGATGTGAAGATGTGTGGATTGGGATGCCATCACCTATTCCTTCAAAATACGTTAACTATTTTAAATTTCTAAAGGACGTGTATGGCTTAGACGTGGAGTAACTATGCCAATTTTGCTCAACTCCTTTTGATTTCCTGCTCTGATTTTGCCAAGTTTATTTCAGTGGATATAATGTCATAAAAACAAAAAAGAAACAAGGTTTACATTGAATTGAAGTCCATAGACCATAATCTGTTTTAGTCATTTTAGTTTTTCAGAACATCGTATTATATTGCTGATGTAGCAGCACTATTAAAAATGTCATTTAAAGAAACACTAAACATTTTATTATATGTATAATTTATTAATACAAAAGAATCTTATGGTAATTTGTAACCAATATTATTTGATTTATTACAACACAAAAAGAAAATGACTTTTGACAGCTATACATAGCAATATAAGATCAGATTATATCAAAGCAATACATTGTGATTCTATTAAACATTTTTTGAAATCTTTTTGACATTTGTTACCTATATAATTAAACTTTGTAGCAACCTATCTTATCAAAGTAATCCTTAAACCTCTAGAGTGAAGATATTTATTTTCTGAAATTAGCAAAGCTGTGAGAAGAAAGGACATCATCCTCCCTCTAACACACACTCTTGGGCATGTAAAAATTTGGGAGAGAAATTCAAACATATGTAGGATTTATATTTTAATGCCCTTTTTATACCTAAAGTTAGCTTGCTAATTTAGGAATATATGCATGTGTATATAATTTTAGTATTATAAAAATGTATTTTGTCTAAAATATTTAGGGATGTGAGTGCTGAAGAGTTTGAGAAATCTTTCTGGTTCATTCTTCACACATACATACCACCCACCCCAGAGGTTTAAATATTCTAAGACTACAGCATTTCTCTCCTGTATTTCCTTGTTCTATTTTTATTTTTCTTCTAGGCCTATACATTATGAGTCTCAGCAGAACTTTTGCCATGTAGTGTGTATTTGATTAACACTTATAATCATGGACTTCTGGGAATTCTTTGTGAGAAGTTTGTCACAATCTACCCCGGTCTTCAATATTGGATGGCATGTATCATAAATCCCATCACCTGGTATTCTCAGAGACAATGGAAGCCTATGGAAAAGGGACTTCAACCTTTACCTTTTAGGGACTACTCTGAGGAGAGGAAGAGGAACTGCTGATATTTTGGGGATTCTTCTATCTTATTATTCTTTCACTCCACATTTACAGTGTCTTGCCTAGAAATGAGCTGGCTTCACAAAAATCAGATATTGTCTACTTGATTTTTGTCCCAGGTTTTTTTGTTTGTTTGTTTTTGCTTTTTTTTTTTTTTTTTTTTTTTTTAAGACAACTGACAGTGCCAAGCCATTTTGTCACTTTAGATTTTTCATTACACAGAGAACAAGCTTTTAGGAGGATGACACTTTCCTGGAACATTTTAGGCTGACATATTAGTCATTTACCAATTCAACTCTTTAGTCAGTTGTCTTTCCCTCAAGATTTTAAATATGTAGATAATTTAGCCCTTGTACAGGCTTGCAATATAATTCATTTGAGAAGTTGGAGGAGACCAATAATATGCTCTTGAATTTGTAGGATGACTGCTACTTATTTGTTTGCATAGATGTATGTGACTGCCCTGGTTATTTGAAGTTCAAACCCACAATTAGCAATTACATGACCATTATAGGAATCATGCCGATAAACATGATACACTGCAGCCATATAGACACTTTAAATTATTTTTTTTTATAACTAAACCATATACTGAAGAAGATTCATAATTTAGAGATAATATTCCCATTAGTAAAGTTTATGATTCAATAAACAGCTCCCACTAGTTAATAAATGCCAAAGCTATCAAAACAAAGACCATTAATGTAATAGAAGTTCTGGACTTCCCTCCTTTCTGGTGGTCTCAAGGTACTAACGGCAAATGCTATCTTAGGAAAAACATTTATTCTCGTTATGTAAATATCAATGAATTATCTTATAATCCATCTGGAAATCTCTCAGCACCCCCCTTTGGTCCCAGGTGGTCCTGAAATGCTGATGAATTCTGCTTAGGTTTCAGGCAGTAGATAACTGGTTTTCAGCAAATAAACCCTGTGACTCAAATATATGGGAGATGGGGAAGACTACTGGAATTTCTGTCTTTTCTCTGTCCTCTAAAAAGAGAAATTCCAACTATTGCCATTATTCCAGAGTAGTAATTTAAAAAAATTTTACAACATTATCACATACTTATATTTTTATCTCCTAACATTTTACCATTTTGATGGAAAAGCAAGTGTTGCCTGTAGAGGTCTGGGTGAGTTGAAGGTTAATATAGGCAAATTTTTTGTACTAAGAATGAATTGTTTTTTCAGTATTCCTGGAACTGTGGAAATGATTGATAAAGTCATTTGAAAGCCCAAATCAAATAATCTTTTCATAAGAAACTTATGAAAAGATGTTGAAATTCACATTAAATAGTTTGCTGAGTCATTTTTGTGAAGTATGGATGTTGTCAGCAGATGACTGATTTCCAGTGTTTAATTGCCTCCCCCTTCAGCTTTTAACCTTTTTGAACTATTTGGACCTGTTTCAAAAGTAATGTGATGAGTCTGTGGCTTGAATTTAGTGCTTACTAAATTAGTTAAAATTTTAAACAGCAGAAAGGAGATGAAGAGCAGTGTAACTTTCAAGTATTAGAATAGATTAATCATTTTGCCTACTTTATTCTCTGTATTACCTTTGATGGAATTAATGTTAAGCACACCGTTCTTGGTCTTTGTTTTTTGTATGCTATACTATTTGAAGTTTGGTTATTTAGGGGTAGATGTAACTGAACATAAAAAGAGTTTGTCCCTCCCAGTGCACAGCAGAGCGAAACACTGAACACCGAGAATTGCAGTGGAGAAATAGGAGTCGTTTTATTCTTAGGCCACACAAGGAAAATAGGAAAGCTACTGCTCAAAAGCCACCAAATGGCTTACAATAACAGGGTTTTAAGGAGTTAGATGGAGCAGGTGTGTAGAAGTGTTGGTAGGGTTAGTTTTAATTGGAGGGCCAATTAAAGGGGCTTCAGCACCCGATCTTCTTGGACAACAGACACTTTGCTTCTGAAAGAGTTCCAGTGTCCAGTGTTCAATTTCTGGTCATGTCCCAATCCTTTGGTTTCCTAGAGAGGTGAAGAAATGGAGGACAGGGGTGGCACATGTGTAGTGCTCTCTCTGCAAATAACTCAAGGCTTGTATTAATCACCAATCCATTTTACTTTTTATTTATTTTTTTATCCTCACCCAAGGACATTTGTTTTTGCACTTTATCTGCAGATAGAGCAGGAGGGGGAAAGAGAGAAAGAGAAACATTGACGTGAGAGAGACGCATCGAGTGGTTGCCACCCACACGACCCCACCCGGGGCCAGGGACAAACTACAACCGAGGTACGTGCCCTTAGTGGGAACCAAATCCAGGACTGGTCAATGGGCCGATGCTATAACCACTGAGCAAAACCAGGCAGGGCTCACCAATCCACTTTAAAAGAGTAGTCAATTTGATTTGTGTGCTGTTTCATAGAGCTTCCACACTTTATGGACAGCTCAGTCATGTGTTTAAGATATTTAAATTGCCATTCCTTTTTTCAAATAGCAGGGAATTCTTGATGAAAAAAATAAAATCTCTCCAAATTAAAAAAAAAAACTCTTGTCTTTTCAAGTTGGATTTACTTATCTTAATTTGAGTGAGGACTGTTTCATAGCATTTTCCACTTGTTCTTCATTTCCCTGTCCCCTTCTTCCATACGTTAAAATTTTCCTATAAGTTCACCCATTGGAGTCTTCAGTAATAACTTAGTGAAATATTAGAGTTTCCCACAAAATATTTGTTTTTAGTAATGCAGAATCCATTGGACTGTCATGTTCCTGATTGTATGTATATTCTTTTTAGTTAACAAATCATCAAACAAGTGCTGGTGAGGGTGTAGAGAAAAGGGGACTCTAGTACATTGCTGGTGGGAATGCAGACTGGTACAGCCACTATGAAAAACATTATGGTGTTACCTCAAAAATTGAACTTCCGTTTGACCCAGTGATCACACTTCTAGGAATATACCCTAAGAAGCCTGAAACACCAATCAGAAAGAATATATGTACCCCCATGTTCATAGCAGCGCTATTTACAATAGCTAAGATTTGGAAACAGCACAAGTGTCCATCAGTAGACGAATGGATAAAAAAGCAGTGGTACATATACACAATGGAGTACTATGCAGCTGTAAGAAAGAAAGATCTCTTATCCTTTGAGACGACATGGAGGGACCTGGAAAGTATCATCCTAAGTGAAACAAGCCAAACAGAGAAAGACATATATCATATGATCTCACTTATTTGTGGAATATAATGAACATAACAGTCTGAGGAACAGGGTAGACCCAGAGATGTGGAAGTAGGGTACAGACTGACAACCCTCAGAAGAGGGGGTGGTGGGAGGTAAGAGATAAGCCACACAACTTACATGCAAGTACACATAACCGATGGACATGGACAACAAAGCTGGGGACGGGGTAGAGGTAAGGGACGGGGAGGAGGGTGTCAATGGAGAAACATCTATAACAAAAATAAATTAATAAAAAATATCACCTGATCACCCCCCCCCCCCAAAAAAAGAATATGGATTGCTAAAGGGATGTGTCTGTTTTAGAGAGAAATTAAAAGAAAGTAGTTTGTTCTAATAAGTTGGTTATTTATGAATAAAAAGAGACAAACTAGGAACAAAGGAAGTTGTAGAAGGTTACTGGAAAAGGAATATTAAGAAAGGCATTTTATAAGGCTAAGGGAGTACATTAGCACCAAACCAGCACTGCAAGAAATGTTAAAAGGACTGCTGTAATTACCAGGAGAAATGGGAAGAAAAATAGAACCACACTAAACAAAAATGGCAATAAATAAGTACATATCAATAACCACCTTAAATGTAAATGGACTGAATGCTCCCATAAAAAGACACAGAGTAGCTGATTGGATAAGAAAGCAAGACTCATCTATATGCTGTTTACAAGAAACCCACCTCACAACAAAAGACTCACACAGATTGAAAGTGAAGGGA